CAGGTCACGCTGCATACACGTCGGGCGACTCAAAGCGAAGCGATGGCAGTGTGAAACAACAATTGCGCCACCTCGGAGCGATTGGCGGTGACAGCTTGCACCAAAAGCGACATCGTCAGACGATCAAGTGCAACATTCATACCATCATTGGCCCCGCTTGTATACACATACGCACACTCGCGCTGGCGTCACCCTGCGCAAAATGTTCACAGATCCGACACCGTGCTGAGTCGAAAAACCTCAGGCCCATCCCTTCGAGAGCTCTCGAGATGGACTGGTGAATCTGATTCGAAAAACCGGGTCAAAGATGCTCGCAATTCTTGGGCGCTCACAGGGATCACCACGCGATGCTTCGAGAGGCCTTAGGAACGTGCTGGGGCGTCGACACTTCCCGCGTGTCCTGAGATCTCTTGGGCCGTCTCTTGAAGGCCCTAGGGACTGGCCCAAGAAGGTAAGATCATTGAAACGCATTCGCACGCTGTGCGATGTCCCCCAAACATGGAACCATAGAGGGGAAGCTCGAGTTGCTGTTTGGGACCCTCCGCCCCTTAGTCCCCGAGACAGCCACCAGGCCCCCCTAAGAGGCCCCGAAGAGGCCCCCTAGTAGGCCCGCGGAGGGCCTTGACGAGGCACTAGGATTCGGTCGGGCATGTCCTCCTACAGGTGGATTTTGGAAGAAGCATAAATATACTGTCAAACAAATAATCAAAAACTATCAAAACAAACAACCACGACGAATCGTCACCATGGTATATGTATACTATTCTTGAATACTCCCCCTCCAGAGGGACATGCCCGACTCAACACTAAAAGGGCATCCGAGAGGCCCTCGTCCGCAACGCAAGCATGGCGTCGGGCTCGGCAGCAGCGCCGATGGCCACCAGATATCGTTCAGGGTATGCCCACAAGGTGTCATATACCAATCGGTCGGAAGAAGTGGGCAAAAATCTGCAGTAGGCAGGCGTTGGAAGCAGATTGGATCTGCGCCCACGGGGTGCTACATACAGTGCGGACGCGGCCGCAAGAAACCCTCGCCAGAAACCCAGCCCTGAAGAACCGCGCGAGAGGTGCGACGGGGGGGAAGCCCAGGGCACCCCAACCACAGCAGCCTCTTCGACGGCCGCGGGAAGTCACCGCGCAGCGCGAGGAGCGAAGGAATCCAAGGTGCCCTGACGAAACGCATACGGACTCTTGATGCGCGCCCCCACTGCACCCGTGGGTCGGAAGAAGTGGGTACAAACATGAGGCAGAAAGGCGTTGGAAGTAGACTGGACCTCCGCCCGCCCCCCGAAGAGGAGGAAGAGGGACAGGCACTCGATGACTGAAGTGGAAGAGCGACTGAAGTAGACTGTAAGTCCTCTGGTGGGCCACAGATACCTACTTTCAACAACTAATGGGCACGGTCCAACTGATGCAGCACGTGTACCAAGAGGCCATGCAAATGATGCGAGAAGCGCAACGGTAAGGCACATGGCTTGGAATACGCCAAACACGAAAGACATCTGGAGACAAGACAACCAGAGCAAAGACCAGATCCGCCTCGGTCGCATTGGCGTTACGAACCTCGCCAGGAACTCTTGCAACATATATCATGGAATGGAACTATGCCTACCATCTGGTCTGCTGACGTGAGCCGCCACTGTGCGCACTGGTTCATGTCTCTCGTGGCCTCGAAGGAGGGAGGCCCTAGATTGTTCAGCGCAATGCCGATAGGATTCCACCATGCGTAACTCCGCCCAACCGCTTCTCCTACGTATGGATTCTGCCAGTCGTCATTCAGAGGGGGGGAGCGGGAGAAGCTCTTACGGAGAGAGATGGGGTCTCGGCGAGGTTCCCCAAACCTCTGCGGCGGCGAAACCATTAAAAATGCTGAAAGGCCATGACGAAGACGTGCATCGTTAGCTAGACCTCCGAGGTTTCCCGACGCCTACCGTGGCTCTGTTCCCCTTGATGCACTTCAGCCTACCGCCAACAACAGCAACAGCGCCGCTTGCCCTGAAGATCGAAGAACTCGCATCGTTGTCACCAGCACCCTGTTAACTTCTCTGGCCACAGGCAAGAAAGTTCAAAGTATGATCCAGAAGCACATTGGACGGGAGCTTCGTTGTCGTGTCACAAGCGCGTATCCAGAGTGAGAATGCCGGTGCCCCGCTAGCAAAGATGCAGATGCATTGCATCAAATATGAACGGGTAATCCCACCAGCACTCTGGGCGACAGGTGGTCTAACGAGATTGCTCATCCCTCTTCCACAGCCCCTTCTTCCCCTTCGGGGAGGGGTTTACCCCTCCCCCTACCCCCTCCCCTGGACCTGGACGGGGGGGGGGTCCGCGAGGGGTTGGAGCGTCCAAGATGGCCCAAGATGGCTCCAAGAGGGCCTCCGACGCTCCGATATTGCCCCCAAGACGGCTCAAGACAGCCGAAGATGCTCCAAGGCAGCTTCCGGCATGCCTCCAAGAGGCCCCTATGAAGGCCACGAGACGGTTCCAGGTGCCCTCAAGAACCCCTCGGGACCTCCCCGAAGAGCCAAGATCCTTCAAAAGCCGAGAGAACATCATAGATGATTGCCTTCTCGCCTTTGCGTTTCTGATGCGCTTCTGAGGCCTCAAGATGGCGCCAGGATGGCCCAATAAGGCCCCAAGAGGGGCCCAAGAGGCCCCCAAGACGGCCCCAAGAGCGCCCAAGAGCGCCCCCACAGGGCCCCAAGAGCGCCCAAAGAGACAGTTCTGAGGGCCCCAGAAGGGGGACGGAGATAAAGGAACCGCCTCTGTTGATCGATAGCCTCCAAGATGGCCCCAAGAGGGCCTCCAGGGTTCCCAAGAGAGCCCCAAGAGGGCCCCAAGAAAGATCCAAGATGGCCCCAAGAGGGCCCCCCAAACGACCCCCAAAACGCCCAAGAGCGCTCCAAGAGAGCCCTCCTCCTCGTCCTCCTCCTCCTCCTCCTCATCCTCCTCCTCCTCCCCCCCCCTTCCTCCTCATCCTCACTCTCTTAGTCCTCGTCCTCCTCATCCTCGTCCTCCTTCTCCTCGTCTTGCTCCTCATGCCTCCTCCCTCCTCCTCCTCCTCTTCTCCTCCTCCTCCTCCTCCTCCTCCTCCTCCATCCTCCTCCTCCTCCTCCTCTTCTTCCTCCTCCTCCTTCTCCTCCTTCTCCTCCTCTTCGCCCCCCCCCACACACACGCGGCCCGGAGATGGCCTCAACGCGCCGTCCAGGCGGGCCTCCATCGCTGTTTGACTATGCGTGTCTCTCCCTCTCTTCCCCCGTCAACTTTAATGGGCATCATTTCTGAATGGGCTGGTGGGGATATGCGAAGCGTCAAGAACTTTAGCTTGAGCGGTCCGCCTCTCACCTCCCCCAAAAATACCCCCGGAAGCTCCCAGAAGGCCTCAAGAGAGCCCCAAGAAAGTCCCAAGAGGTCTCCTCCTCGTCCTCATAATCATCCATCTTCTCCTCCTCTACCGCCTTCTCTTCTCCTCTCCTCCTCACCCTCCTCGTTATCCTCTTTCTCTTTCTCCTCCTCCTCCTCCTCCTCCGCTTCCTCGTGTTATTCGTATTTTTCTTATTATTGTTCATTGTCTGCCTCCTCTTCCTCTCTTTCTCCTTCTCCTACTCTCTTTCTCCTGCTCCTCCTGCTCTTCATCTCTCCCTTCTTCCCCAAAGCGTGTTCGTCCAAGGGGGTCCATAGCGGCTGGGGGAACACATTGTCCAACCAATAGCCTGCCCAATAGTTGGCCCAACGTCTGGCCACATAGGCGTTCCCAAAAGGCAGGGGGCGGTGGTGGTCTGCGGCAGGCGTCTTACATAGAGTTGAGATTGCTGTCAGCGTGACCGCGGAGATGTGTTTTCACACAGAGCAGCGTGCACGATGCTCAAAGCAAGGAGCAAGGGAGCAGCAAGGAGGAGTCTTCGCTACGCGGCTTACCTTCACAATTTGTGACCCAAATCTAGCCGTGGCGCCGTATGATCCGGGGGCGTACGACGATGCGCTGCTCCAAGCCCTGGTCCGCATCCACTTGGATCTTCTGCTGGTAATCATCCTTCCGCCCCGTCACATCGAATACTTCGCCATCCTGTACCTCGTCGTCTCTGACGGATGAATGAGGGTGGATCACTTCTCCACGCTCCTGGCTATCTCCCCGCAAGTGTTCAACTATTTCAACATCGGTGTCTCCATCGTTGAAAACTTCAAGTCGTACTATGCGCCCCTTCGGCTCTTCTGCACCCAATTCATCTTCAGGAGACGCTATCATCATGGCACAATTGGAGCCCGCAACGTCACTCAGATTCGCATACAGAAGCCGGATCCCTAATGGGTCATGCACCAAACTTCCTAGGTGAATAGCCGGGCAACTTGCACCTGGACCACTCCATGGATAGGAAGAGTGCGCGTACACGGTCTGCAGGCCATAGAGCACCGCCATCTCCTCTTGAGATAAACCAACTCTGGTCTCGAGGTCAGACTGTAAGTGCTCGAGCGTGTAAGCCGCGACTAAGCTTGTGATGTTGAACTGCCTAGCCCAAGACAACGCTACGGTATAGAAGTTTGTTCGATGATGCCGCGCGATGGCGTTCACAACAGGCTCATCCCTGCAGATCGCAATATCATGGGTAATTAGCACAACATCTTTGAGTTCTGTCATATTGAGAAATGGCCAACCTTCTGGCCACGTCCTGGAAGCACATGGTGTCCAAGGAATTTGCATGAAGATGGGACTCTGCGCACGGCAGGCTCCACTAGACATGCAGTCCCTCGCCAACTGCAGATCTTCAACCGAGCTTACGCCCAAAAAGCGCGCTTTCCCTTCCAACTGTACCTGCTCCATGTTCTTCCACATCTGCTGAAACGTGTCGCTCCGTGTGACGTGATGTGTGAACAGGACATCGACATAGCCAGTACGAAGCTCTGCTAATTGCTTCCCGAAGTAATCAACGGGGCTCTCATCATCTCCAACACGAGCAGCGCTCTCATGGCTATCATCAGCCCGTGTTGCAGTTGGCAGGAAATCATCTGGCATAACCTTCGTCATCACAAAAAAATCCGCAGACCCCCCCTTGCCCGGGGTGAAAAGGCGTGCGACATATTTGACTGTCCCCCTCACCCTTTCCCCCTCCCCCAGGGTCCAAAATCGTGTTTAGGGGGGGGGCGGGGGTGGACGAGCTCCTAATGACCCCCAGGGCTTCTGGGGCCTCCAAATATAAAGCTCGTGGACTCCTCCGAAAAGCCCCCTAAATGAGCGGCGATCAAAAACGGGTCTTGCGAGAAATGGCGCAGCGACTTTACGCGGTGGCATACGCGGGCTGCCAGCGCGGCACGCCTCACTAGAAGCAAGGAAGCTTACGCGCGACTTTACGCGGGCAGCTTACGTGCGAATGTCGGCGAAGACGTCCCTTTTTTCTGCGTCGCTCAGATGACAATGAGAGCCCTCGAAGAGGCTCAGCCTGAGGGGTCGGCGGACGAGCGCAAGCCACTGGAATCACTGCGAGGAAGTGCTGACGCGGCGAGCATGCGCCCGATGACTGGGTCTGAACCGTACAACCACGCCGAGTCGAGCAAGCGGACGCCCGTGTCAACCGCTTTTGACAAGAAGTTGCTAGGACCTTCGAACTTGTCGACGTACTTGCGATCGCACAAATCATAATCGGTTTTCCCGACAGGGCCCCTGTCGCAGACGCCCCCGAATCCCAAGCCAGCGGATGGCATGCCCACGTCGGGGGCAAGACGTGTGCGAGGAACCGCAGACGTGTCGACCTGCACCTCCCGGCCCCGGGCAGCATCAAGAAGTTTTTGGGTGGAGCCTTCCTGAAGGACAGCATCCTGCCCTTGCTGACCAGCAAGCGCCCGGGCGTGGCTCTCGGCAATTCGCTGGCGGGTCGGCGCCACCTCTTCTGCCGGTAGCGCTCCGAGCGCCAGGAAGGCAAAGCGCAACTGGAATATGTTGGCTACGAGCCGCTGGTGTAGAGGTTGCCTGGCGATGAGCTCGAAATAGTAGTTCCCGGCTGTTGAGGCGAATTTGCTGCCCCTGTCCGTGTTGGACTGAAAAAAAGGGTGGCGCTCGCCCTTGCCAAAGTCCATCGCGGCATCCACGAAATAGTCTGCAGGAAAACAAACTGCTGGGCGAGCCCAGCATCCGGCACACCATACGAGAAACAAGATCTTGCCCCTGCTTGCCATCGTGCGTTCTCAGACTGCCACTGCTGGCAGGCAGAACGACCTTTCACCGTGCAAGAACTTGCTGTGCTTCAAAGACCACAAGCGGAAACCAGCGCGGCTTCCGACATCAACGCTGCAGCCATATGGCTTGAGCACAACGATCACGCAGCCTTGTCTCTACCCGTGGGGTGTACTGACCAAAACTGTGCCCGAAAATCTGATCGAGTGTTAGCGAAACAGGCCCCCGATTTGTTCCGAACGCGCCTAGGCGTGCCCGAAGTTCTTGGCTAGAAATCAAAACGATCTTCAAGCTCGGCCACTATTTCGGTGATACGATGTGTTCGGTCTCGATTTCTGGAATCGTGTTCGGTCACCGATTTGCTCGGGCACATGCCTTTGCGGCTGGTGGGGGCTGGGCGCCATGAGTAAGGCGCGCGTGAATGTACGTATGCCTTTGTGGGCGGGGTGGTGGTGGCTCGCCCCGCGAGACACGGGGGAAGAAGGAGGCAAGGGTAGGTCGGGCGTGTCCCCCTACAGGCGGATTGGGGGCGAAGAGTGAAGAATAGTCATAAGATGCACAAAACATGCCCAGGAATACTCAAAATCGTCACCTTACTATTTTTTGACTATTTTTGAATATTCCTAAGGTAAGGGAAGAAACAATTACCTTAAAACATGAGAACTCGGAGGTCCGCGCGAATCTCTCGGATCGGCTCTGGACCCCCCTCCATGGCGCGCCAGGAGCGGCGCTGAGGCGCCGCCAGGGGGCACCAGCGCCGATCCGAGGGCCCCAGGGCCCCAGATGGTTCGTGTCATTGTCTGTTCCCCTCGGAGGAGAGGGAGCCTCTCAGGGCCATCCCCAGGGCTTCTCAGGGCCGTCTCGCGCTCTCCTGGGGCCAAATCACCGGGAACGTCATACAGCCCCCGACCCCGGCGGGGACGCCCTGGCCCCGCCGGCCGCCCTTTGCCTCCTCGGCGGGGATGGGCGACGCGTCTCCGTCGGGTTTCGCAGCACCCCATGCAGACTTGCGGGGGCTCGCTGGGAAAGACAGCCTTCCCTGTCCATAGGAGGGAGGGTCGGCGATGGTTCTGGCGGCGATGAAAACCGGGGGGCCCTTCGCACCTGGGATCGGGAATCTCCTCGAAGGGTACCACAGGGTGGCATGGGAGGAGGAGCCGGGCTGGCATGCGGAAGGGGGGTGAGGTTGGCTGCCGTGGGGTGGGACTCCGGCGCGGCTGCGCGCGAAGACGAAGCAGCGGCGTTGAATTCGTGGGCTGCTGGGGGGCGGGGGGGGGCTCACCTGGCCGGTGAAGGGGCGGGGCTTGCAACGGTGGGGCGAGACTGCAGCGCGGTGCTGGGCGAACAAAAACCAATCGTGCCGGTGTGGAAGGGTTGGCGGGCTTGCTGATGGAGGGTGGGTGCACGTGGGTGGGGCTGGCAGCGGTGGCCGTGAACAAAAGAGAGCGCTCGGGGCAGAATCTGGAAGGACCGTGCAGGCTGCTAGTGGAAATGGAACGTGGCTGGCGGGTGGGGGGGCGGCGAGGCAGGGCTGCAGCTTGGCAGCACGAGACAGCATCGGATCGGGAAATCGTATCGAATCGAGACATGCATCGAGCTGCATCGGCAAAGTCGAAATCGAGCCGGATCCGCTGCACCAAGATGCACAACAACGTCGGGCCACATCGGATCGCTGCGGTACGGGCGTCATCACGGGGGTTAGGCCTGGCAGCGCCCGTGACCGGTGAGCTCTGGCTTAACCCCGGTGTGCAGCATTCGCGATAACGCCCGTGACTGGCCCCGCCAAATCCCCCCCCCCTCCCCGCCCCCGTGGTCACGTCACGATTCGAGCAGACGACGTCTGGAAATTAGACAGGCCCCCCCCCCTCGCCCCCTCCGTGGTAGCAAGGGGATGGTAAAATGGGAACCGCACGCTGCAATGTCCTGGCGGAGAACCGCGGGCCACGCGTCCCTCCGCCTCCTCCTCCTCCTCCTCCTCCTCCTCCTCCTCCTCCTCCACCTCCCCCTCCTCCTCCTCCCCCCCCTCCTCCTCCTCCTCCTCCTCCTCCTCCTCCTCCATCGGAATCATAATGAGGATAAGAATGTTGATAATCAGCATCACCATCATCATCAGAAGAATCATCATCATCAGCAGCATCATCACCAGCATCATCAAAGTCAGCATCAGCGCCAGCATCATCAGCATCATCAGCAGCATCAACGACATAAGCATCATCAGCATCATCATCATCGTCACCAACATCATCATCATCATCATCATCATCATCATCAACGTCATCATCAACACTATCATCATCATCATCATCATCATCATCATCATCATCATCATCATCATCATCATCATCATCATCATCATCATCATCATCATCATCTTCATCATCATCATCATAGGCTTCCTCCTCCTTCTCATCCGCCAGGCCCTCCATCCTCCCATCTTGCTTCTTCTATCAACACCTGCTCCTGCAATCCCCTGAAACACGACCACCCCTGCATCCCCCAAAATCGTCGTCGTCCTCCTCCTCCTGGCCGTCCTGCCCTTACTCCTCTTCCCGCTCCCATGTACTCCTCCTCTTGCCCTCCCTGGTCCTCCTCATCATCATGATCATCATCATCATCAGCATCAGCATCATCGTCAGCAGCATCATCTTCATCGGCATCATTATCGTCATCAGCATCATCATCGTCATCGCATCGCCATCAGCAACATCAGCATCATCAACATCACCATCAGCATTATTAATATTATTATCATCATCATCATCAGCAGCAGCAGCAGCAGCAGCAGAAGCATCAGCATCAGCATCATCATCACCCCCATCATCATCCACCTCCTCCTCCTCCTCCTCCTCCTCCCCCTCCTCCTCCTCTTCGTGCTCCTGCACAACCTGCTCATCGGGCGGTTGCGCCCGCGGGTGGAGTGAAATGTGTCGCCAGGCTGCGGTTGCGACATGTGTCGCCTGATTGCGGTTACAAATGCGCCCGCGGATGGGTTGAACTTTGTCGCTTGGTTGCGGTTGCGGTTGCGGTTGCGGTGGCGGTTGTGGTTGCGCCCGCGGGCGGGTTGAAGTGTGTCGCCTGGCTGCGGTTGCGGCTGAGCCGGCGGGCGGGTTGAATTGTGTCGCCTTGTTGCGGTGGCGGTTGCGCTTGCGCCCGCAGGCGGGTTGAACTGTGTCGCCTGGTTGAGGTTGCGGTTGCGCCCGAGGGTAGGTTGAAATGTGTCGCCCGATTGCGGTAGCGGTCGCGATTGCGCCCTCGGGCGGGTTGAAATGTGTCGCCTGGGTGCGGGTGCGATTGCGGTTGCGGTTGCGTTTGCGGTTGCAAACGCGAGCAGGTTGAAATGTGTCGCTTGCCTGCGGTTGCAGTTGCGTTTGCGCCCGCAGGCGGGGTGGAACGTATCGCCTGGCTGCAGCTGCAAATGCGCCCGCAGGCGGGTTGGATTGTGTCGCCTGGTCGCGGTTGCGGTTGCAAACGCGACCAGGTTGAAATGCATCGACTGGTTGCGGTTGCGGTTGCGCCCGCGGGCGGGTTGAAATGCGTCGCCTGGTTGCGGTTGCGCTTGCGCTTGCGCCCGCAGGCGGGTTGCATTGCGTCGCCTGGTTACGGTTGCAGTTGCGCCCGCGGGCGGGTTGAAATGCGTCGCCTGGTTGCGGCTGCAAGCGGGCGGGTCGAAATGTGTCCCTTGGTTGCGGTGGCGGTTGCGCCCGCGGGCGGGTTGAAATGTGCCGCCTGGTTGAGGTTGCGGTTGCACCCGAGGGCAGGTTGAAAGGAATCGCCTTGCTGCGGTTGCGGTTGCGGTTGCGCCCGCGGGCGGGTTGCAACATGTCGCCTGGTTACGATTGCGGTTGCGGTGGCGGTTTCGCCCGCGGATGGGTTGAAATGTGCCGCATGGTTACCGTTGCGGTTGCGGTTGCGCCCGCGGGCGGGTTGAACTGTGTCGCCTTGTTGCGGTGGCGGTTGCGGCTGCACACGCGGGCGGGTTGGAATGCGACGCCTGGTGGTTGCGGTTGCGGTTGCGCCCTCGGGCGGGCTGAAATGTGTCACCTGGATTGCGGTTGCGCCCGCGGGAGGATTGAAATGCCTCGCCTGGGGGCTGTTGCGGTTGCGCCCGCGGGCGGGAGGAATAGCGTCGCTTGGCTCCGGTTGCGGATGCGCCCGCGGGCAGGTTGAAATGTGTCGCCTGGTTGCGGTTGCGGGTGCGCCCGCGGGAGGACTGAAATGCGTCGCTTGAATGCGGTTGCGGTTGCGGTTGCGCCTGCGGGCGGGTTGAAATTCGTCGCTTGGTTGCGGGGTGCGGTTGCGGTTGCGCCCGTGGGCGGGTGGAAATGTGTCGCCTGGTTGCGGCTGCGGTTGGCCCGCGGGCGGGTTGAAATGCGTACCCCGGTTGCGATGGCGGTTGCGGCTGCGCCCGTGGGCGGGTTGAAATGCGTCGCCTGTTTGCGCTTGCGGTTGCGCCCGCGGGCGGGTTGACATGTGCCGCCAGGTCGTCATCATAGGCGTGGCGCCTCAAGCCATCGTGCACCCGCCCAGTGCGTCCGTACCATGGCCAGACCAAGATGCTCAACACGAAGACCGCCAGCGGACACACAAGGATAATCCCGCTAGTCGGCGCCCAAAAGGAGGCCCACGGCGCCGGCGACGCACCACCAGCGAGCGCCGCGTGTAGGTGGCAACCCGAATCCGCACCCGCTCCAAAGCTGGAGGCCGGCGTGGTCAAAAGCCCTCCTCCAGTCCAGAGCGCCGCGCGCCCTTCGCAGGTGGCCTCGCCCGCGGCTTCCACGACCTCGGGCCCGAAGCCGCCATCGCCATCGTGCCAGGCGCCATCGCGCAAGCAACTGCGCCCGGCCTGCGCCCCAGACGCGGCACAGCTCGGGAAGCAGCCAGATGGGCCGGCGGTCCAGGGGCCCGCCGCCGCCGGACTTAAAAGCAGCAAACAGGGCCCTGCACGCTGGCAGAGCTCGCCCGGCCAACGCCCGAGGCGCTCCACTGCCTCGAAGGGCTCCGC